AGTAGTAAACGAAGTGAGCAGTCAGAAAAATATTACTTTTTATTATACTCATCAGATGCATTTTAAATAATAAAAATTACATTTCTTCCTGATATTATGCAGCATGAGAATTTTTTTACAGATAGAACAATGTCCTTCTGTAACTCCTCCTCAATTGGCCAAGAAACTCTCAAGATTCCAGCAATTTAAGCAGTTTTCTAACCATTACTTTTCGGAATCGTAATACTGTAAATCAACACCCACATAGTTTCTAGACTGACCTTTGCAGATTTTTTTTTTTATGACAAATACAAAAACAAAAAATATGAGTATCTATTTGTATCTTTGAATGCTCAACGGTTTATGCCCAGTTAGACCCATGACTCAGAATTACTTTAAATGCACAGTCACGCTTATACCCAAAATACATGCACAGATGAAGACAAAGCAGACGTGACTGTAAGAATACACTACGTATAGTGAAAAAGGTGAAGCAGCTTTTACAGCCATATTCTGCAGCAAAATACGAATCACCTTGCAAAATATGCTTAAAAAAACCTCCATCCATCGGCTTATAACACCATGCGCTTCAAGGAGAGTTATTAGTTGCTACTTTCACATTCACAAGCCAACTTTCTGCTTCGTTACTTCTTGCCCATATGAGCATGACCTCTCTTACTGAGAGTGAGTATGACCTCTGAGCTTTCTTCCCTACGATTTAAGTGTGGAGGTCCTCTGAAAATGTCTAATTGTACTTTTTTTTTCTTTGTGCCTGGCAAGGGATGGAGGCATGCAAGGGAAGAAAGAGGGGAGAGAACGACAGAGAAAACCGCTAAGAGCTACAGGGCAACACAGCAGAAAGGAGTGGAGGAAGAAGAGGAAAAAGAAAGTGGCATCTTTTTACAATCACAACCGAAACATAAAGATAATTCCACCTATTTCCTTACTCTTAGTCTAAATGCATGAGATTAAAGAGAAATTAAATGTTTGCTTTTTTCTTTACACCGAGTTTTCAGTAGAATTTATATGACTCTTAACAAGCAGGGTTTTTTTTTTATATTAAACTTGTTTTTTCTTCACAAAAAAAGAAAAGAACAGAAAAGGAAAGGAAAGGAAAGCATGTGTGCCAAGGAGACAGAAAACTAGGGTATTATTCAGTATAACACAGTTTGCGAGATCCTGGTCCCACGCTGTAGTTGTGAAACACAATGTTGGACTAAAGCCACCAAAACAGCAAGCAACTCCACCTCAGCCTCAGTCAAGATTACCGACACAGAAACGCAAAGCAGAAACAGCCGCTGGGGCACTGCCTGCACAAATAACTTCAACCCAAACTTATACTTTATATCATTCAATATTTCTTCTTATTATAAAAAAAAAATTAATTAAAACCCTTTAAACACTAAAAGCTTTTTAATGTAATTTTTGTGCTGTTTTCAATTTCAGCTGTATTTTCCATATCAGAGATAAGAACAAAATTAAAAGAAACTGCCATCTTCACTCCCCTCCATGGTTTATTCTCTTGTCTATATCCAAAACAAACTCACTCAACCATTTTATGGACAGATAGTGTGTACGCTCCTGTAGTCCCCACGTAATGCTTTAAACTCCTAATTACACATTTAGTAGTACACATGACAAAGTTTTATTAACTATTCAAGATTCTGCATTGGGATTTCCTTCTGTTCATTAAAGAGGAATGAGTGAGCAACCACTGATGTATTGATGGACCATTCAACTTTGTCCTTGACTGGCAAAAAATGTCCTCCATGTTTAGCAAATGCATCTAAACCACACACTTTCAGCATTCTCAGTCTATAATCAAATAAACCAGCAGCATTTACTTTGATGTAGTCTTTTGAGCTTGTTAAAAGAAAAATCTGATAAATGTAGAGGCCAAGTTTAAATGGAGATATTTGCAATTACGTCTGTTTGATTTAAAACTACTACATCTATCAAAGAGTCGTAACTGCTCACTTCTCTTTTCCATTATGTTTCCTTAAACATAACTGAATCAGCACATCGTGCCTCAGAGAATACCAGAAATTGGTTTCTGACAAGAAACACAAAAAATTGTGCATCTTTTAGAAATGATGTAAATGTGAAGAATCCAATTTAGGTGCAACAGATTATACAAGAAGGATTTTACAACAATACGCCTAAAACCAGAGAAGGGAATTGGTGGATTTTCCCTTGACTGGATCTGATCAGATAAGTAACAAGAAAACATGTTTAGTTTGTATATTTCATTTCATTAAATGCATCAAAACTAAAAAATGCTGATTCTCAGTCTATAAGAACTTCTAAGCTTGTTTTAACTATAAAACAACCAAGATATAAAAAAAAACATTTACTTTACTTTCAGTTGAGTTTGAAACCACTTAATGCAAAGCCTATTGTCCTCTGGGTTTTTGGTACCATTTTTAAGTGGAATAATGTTAAATAAAACACTGAATAAAACAAAACTGTATTTTTTTATTTCAGCTTTTAATTCAATGGAAATCTATCTAGGTCGCAAAAAGCCTTATTGGTGCACCTGTAAAGTTTATTCTTTTATGAGAAAGCTAAAATTAACTCTAATATTTAGCCTGAATGATTATATTAATTTCACAATTGTAGAGTGAAAAATATTCCAAAGCTTTAAGATGAAAAAGAACAAGCTCCAGGTGCATATGGTATATTTGCAAAGAGTATTGTTAGAATAAAACATAAATTGAGTCATCTGCTAATATCTTCCTAACAAATCCCATGATTAGATATTTTCTACCATCATGTGTATCATGTGGATCTCGCTCAGTGTGTTTGTTTGTTTCCATGAATCCGAATCAGCAATGCTCTCAATGAGACCATTCACCCCGAGTGAAAGAAAAAGAGACACAGCCAAGTTCCAGGTCTGTACCAATTTTCTACAGTAATACAGCTGGAGAGGGACTCCATATTTATTAACTCGCACATCAATACGATAAGTTCACCAACTTTCTCGCTCTGTGCTTTCAAGTTATCTCCCTGGCTCCTGAGCCGCTACAGGGTTCAGAGGAAAACAAACTCCACTTAGAGTAAAGTAGTACGGACTGAATTTTACAAAGCTGCAGCCTCCTAGAAAACCTGTTTTTTTTTTCCTCAGGCGAATTTCAATCTGAGAAACAGATGAGGCTCAGGAAACTATCTATTACTCAGGTTTTACTGGAGTTCAAAGAAAACAGAGCATATAGATCAGAGCCGTTAATGGGTCACATCTGAGATTAACAGCAATTTATTGAATTCTCCCATTTTTTTCTCTTCCATAGCAAGTGGGAAAAATGTTGGCACATGTGGAAGGTATTAAGGTAACTAAGCAGCCCCTCAACTCAAAATTCTGTTTTTTTGAGTTAAAAAAATAGCACAGCCCAGATAATGTGTGCCTATCAATAGTAGGCATCAAGATCTAACTCAGCAGTGTATTTACTTCCATTAACAAACAGTCAGGGCAAGTCTGCGTATAGGCACCCAGACCACACCAGTCATGCTCAACGGTTTATCAGGCTGGGAATCTACACACCCAGCTCTGACTGACCCCGACTCAAGCCGAGGGCACACAGAGTCGCCTCTTCCTTTTTACTCTCTGCAACCGATTTCAAGCAATAAATAGTGTTTTTTTTGTGTTGTTTTTTTTTTTTTTCTTTAATCTCAATGTAATAGTTGCTCAACAAATTTAGCGTGTGCCATTAATGACTATGCACAGTAGGAGGTTTATTTTAGTCAACAAATAAAACACTAAGTGCTGGTGGCTGTTGAATTAAAGGTCTTGGTAAACTCTGCCAGGCAGCGATCAGAGTTAATAAGCAGAGGACAAGGCTGTACAGTGTGCTCTATGAGGGACTTTTGGAAGGAAATGCTGTCTGGACAAGCAGTTTACTCAAGCTTGAACCGGAGGGAGAAACAAGGTTTCACATCTGACAAACTTTTTGAAAAGGCAGGTCAGATTAAACAATCTTTGAAGACCTTTCTGAACTTCAAGTTAAAAGTGATAATTTGCATCAAACAATTGTCTTATTTTTAATTAATATGTATTTTTCTTTAATATTCTGCTCTTCTGCAACATGTGCCGAATAACTTTTTAAAAGTTTATTTTTTAGGAAAACATTAGAACCTTTTGGGGCAAGAGAGATTTAGTATATGTAATTGTTTGCTTGGACTTGACTCTTCTTAACAGCGATCCATTTTAACTTTTATTATTTTCTTTCTTATTTTTTGTGTGTAAAAAAAGGTTTAATTTTCCACAGCATGAGGGTGATTCAAAGTAATTACTGATAAGGCACACAATTGTTCTGCACAGTTTAAAAAAGAAAGAGGAAAAAAAATAGAAACTATGTAATTATCTGAATAAAAACAATTATTCTAATCTGATTTTGCCTTTCCTTCTTAAAAGATCTTTACAGTAAAACAATTGTACGGGACTATTTTAGGGTTGTTGTTTTTTTTTGTGTTTTTTTTTTTGCCTAAAAGGAACTTTTTAAAGTTTTTCTAAGAAATAAAACTAAATATTTGGACTTGTTTGTTTAGATTTTAATAAGAATTAAATGTAACAAACAATACTATGAGAGTACTTAAGATTAATCACTTTTTTGTTCCTGTCTCAGCCTATGCAGTTTGACTTGAATAGACTTGATAAAGCCGAAAGGCCTTCGTTTTAAGTGCAGCCGAAAGTTTAAAATAATGTAATCAAACTAAGAAAATAGGATCTATATAAATGAGTTGATTGATCAGAGCTGATAATGCTGCAGCGGATCTGGGGGACCACTGGTAGAAAGGAAAGCGACGCAAACTCATATTTATTTACGGTTCTCTCCTTACGGTGCCGCGCGTCTCGCAAAAACGCACAGCCCTCATGCAGTTTGCCATCTGTTAGATGTCTTTTCCTATCTGTTCGATCCGCACCAAGAGAATCCGACTGTGCCGAATAAAGCCTGATGTTTCATTCAGAGCAAAGCGAGGGAAGGAGGAACACATCTGCCTGCTCCGTGCGCTGCTCCAGCACTTACTTGGTGTTGGTCCGGTTCCAGAAGACGGCGTAGCGGTCGGCCACCACTTTGGATCCGGGCTCCTGGCTTAGAACACACATCAGCAGCATCAGGCAGATGAAGAGGATCATTTCCACTTGCAGCATCACTACACCAAAAACTTGGATAGTCTATTCCGCCTCAGTGTGGAGTCAAATATGGGGATGTAGAGGGGGGGATGCCTTAACCGGGACAGGTGACCTGGTCGCGGTCACATGTGGACCCGTTTCCCTTTAGAGGATCTATCAAGGTTACAGGAATGGAAAAGAGAAAACATGCGCAAGTAAAGAGGAAATTATCGTTCACTGGTGGGGACAGATGAGGTGACACTTGCGCAGGTTGAAGGAAACCTAAAGTTACTAAATCAAAGGCGCTTTATTTGTAGCTGGGTGGTGAGGGGGGGATCCAGACAGAATATGTCTCCCCCCTCCTGAGATGTAGAAACAAGTGAGACAAGCGCAGAAAGCAAAGAATACGAAGAACAACACTTGGTGTCTCCTGTGGCGCCGTACAGTGTCAAACCCCCCCTCTGCGCTTTCTGGGTGTAGCCTGTGTCAGGGCCAAAGTGACAACTGCTCAAGCCTTCGCTCCAAACGCAGGAAAAGAGTGCAGATTAGTCCGAGACGTGATGGAGAGAGGGGGGCTTAATGTGGTCCAATGACGCTGCGAGGGCGCACGTCAGATGTCCATGTTATTATCCCGGTAACTTTCTGAAGCCATGCAGTCAGTCAGTCAGTGCGTGCCTGGGAGAAAGATGAGTGGCAGCGTTAGAGCGCTGCGTAAAAGAAACCCAAAACAAACAGGAAATAAAACGCTGTCATCCTCTTCTGTTCGCAGTGATCCGCCGGAGGTGTCACGGCCTTGGCGGGGAGGAGCCCGACTCTGTGGTCGCGGTCTGTTTTCTTTTTTTCTCCTCTTTCTCTCTCTCTCCTCTATAGACTCTTGATTTTATCTCCGCATTCCAAAGTGTCCTCCTCATATACAAGCCATCGCATTACGCGCGCAAGTGGAAAAACGCAGCGCTCTCCCATGTGCGCACTCCTTTTTTTTTTTCTGTTTTTTTTCTGTTGATTTTTTTCTTCAGTTTTTAGGGGTTTTGGGGGGGAAACGCCGGTACCCAGTGATTCAGTGAGGAGGAGGACAGAGATGGCAGCTCCAAGCAAGCTCCAGACGCCGACTGAGAGTGGGTTTGGTTACAGTGGAGCGGGGGATAGTCTCATTGGTGTGCGACGATTTGAATGGGCGTGAATCCAACGGGAATAAGCCCCGCCCACTTTTTAAAGTCGAGGTAATTCAATTAGAGAACGGTAGAGCTGGAAGGGGGAAGAGGAGAGAGGTTCTTAGGTCAGGGAGCGCTTTTTAGATTCTCTACTGACAGGATCCACCAGATAAGCTCCGTTTGGTGCTATTTAATTACAAGCAAATGGACTGGGCACAGCACAAAAAAAAAAAAAAAAAAGGGGGGAAATGAAGGCAACAGAACCTTCAGTAAAAATGTATTAATATCAAATTTGTAAATATTCTAGCCCTGCATAGTTTATTACCTCATTTTCCACTTATCAGCTAATATTTATTTATTTCCTCTATTATAGTTATAATTTTTTTAATGTATATCTATTTGAATAAGGCTATTGTAAAAATATTATTTCATACTGGATTAAAACAAAAAAAAAATTTTTTAGTTAGTGGACTTATAAATTTATTATTTAAAGCAATGTTATCCAATATGTTTTATGTATTTATATTTGTATTGATTTTTTAAAAATAATTTACCCCTGTGTTGTCAAAATATTTAAAGTTATTGCCCATATTTTTTACTTTGCCGGCATACGGTAACGGGTAAAAATAAATAAATATTGCCATTCATATTTAAGCTTTAAAAAAACGATGTCAATATGGATGTCACTGTTTAAAAGAAACAAAACCTCAGAGTAACAGCCTGAGCCTGAAGTCTGTTTGTGCAAAAAGAAGGTGTGCGGTTTGCCACAAGGACTCCATGTGGTTATTGCAGAGCAGCCGTGTTGAAAAGCCGGGCTGATGGCTTCCAGTATACTAAAAGCCCTGTAGCTGTGAATCACTGATTCGGCCTTAGACAAAAGTAAGCTATGATCATCTGTTGTTGAAATACTCATTTAAAGCCTCGTAGCATGGAAAGAGACCCAAAGCAGAATTTGGACTGCAGGCTCGTTTTGGTACTAATTTGATGCTTTGCATATTGTGCATTTAATGCTGTGGCTGTTTTGATATAAGCAATATGGCTAAATGCCAAGGGCAGCAGAGACAATTCTCAGTAACCCTCCACTGAGTTATGTTATGCTCATGAAGTTAAGAGCTGTTATTAGAATGTGGTTTAAAAGTTTCCTTTTGGAACAAGTATAAGGTTTGACTAGTTTAGCATCAGCATTAACTCTATTTTCAAACTAGAAATAAACATGTGCCTGGTATCTAGTTGCAAGATTAAATGTTTTCTTAAAACCTTGTTCAAAAACATTTTAAAGAACAAGTGATACATTATTACACACATAATGTATGGAAATCACTTTAGTAGATCCAATTATTAAATTCTGAAAAAAAAAAAGATTACAGCGTAAATTAAGTTTTTAGTGAGTGAAAGCAGAAGAGATGTTTAAAAAAAACTTTAGTTACATTAAACAATAACTTTAAATAAAGCTTTGAAACCATTATTGATTTTCTTTGTATAACCAGTCAATTTTGTCTGTTTTTTATCTTGAATAAAATATCAATAAATGAAAATAAAAACAAAGTTGCTTCTCAGTCATGTTAGGAGAGCATTCAAAATTATCCTCAGTCTTAACTAAACTCTATGAACACATCTTAAGTTCCATTTTACATCTTGGTATTTATCTTTGTTATACTTTCAGAATGACATCCTGTTATATTTAGACTTCAACTGTGTCTTCAATATGATGGCTGCTGTTGGCCATCAAGAAACAAAAAAAGAAAAACAGAAGGAAAGTCAAAGTCAGGCTAAGAGGGGAGCTAATATTTCAAGATAATCCTCTTGACCTGTTCTCTTCCTCTTGTGTAAACTGAGGACTGCTCACTTGTAGCTATCACCACACACACTGACAGGAGGGGCGCTCTTGCTGCAACTAGACACTGATACTACTGCCGCACCACACAAACTCTGGGAAATGTCCCTTTTTCTCTGCAGAACCTGCATTTAAGAGAAAAGACACCATCAGCCACCAGGCGTGGAGGAATGGGAAGGTCAGCCCAGAGGTTAGTAGACATGGTTGTTTTCACACCTACTTTACAGCCATGTCTGCATTCTTCTCCTGGTTATCCTCATCTCTGTCTCACATGCAGTAAAATAAAGTTGATAACACTCACGTTCAACTGAATATCCACTCAGCAAACACCCCCAACTGCATTCAGTTTCTCCCAATATTTGTCATCCTCTTCTCAACTTCCTATTACAGGCTAGGTGTGAATTTGTTGATTTTTATTTATTTGGATATTTCAGCAGAGCAGTTGAAGTATGTTTCTATATTAGGAAAAAAACATAATCTTTTCTATTTGACTGTTTAATGAGAACGAATATAAAAAGTATAATATTTTATTGCAGGAAGATAACAGTTTCTAACACTAAAGTCTTTTAGGGCTTTTTGGGTTTTAATTTCCCTATGTTTATTTATATGTCTTCTTATTAAACAGTGCAACTCACACTTTATGGAAGCAATCATTTATTCCCAATAAAGCAATTAAACTCTTCACATTTTTATAGTACACTATGATTTGAGTCAAACTTTTTGGTAATGTCTCTTTGATAAAGGATAACTGGCTTCATCAAGAGCTTGAGTTTGATATATTGAAGTCATTCTGGCCAAAAATGACAAGGATCTGGCTTCAAGCCTGAGGTTTCTCCCTTCTTAGATTTAGTGATCAGCATGCGCACCCACCCAGGGTCAGAGGGAGGATGGGATGGGGGGAAATTAGTGTCAGGCAGGTGAGATAATTTATTATTAAGTTATTAATTTATTTATTAACTTTTATTAAAATGACTTTTCTTTTCTGATAAAGGAAGTTAGTAAGTAAATCATAACAATTACTCATTAAAGTAGAATAAAATGCGGCTCTGTTTTCCTGGTATAAGAATGGTGATTCGGGAACACCAACTAGCAATTACAGACATGAAAGGAACCCTTTGAATTGGTGCTTTTGAAAATCTCTGCCAATTAACATCCTATAACCTGCATGTAAAAAGAAAAACATTTTCAAAGCATAGATTAAAACTATACTTTCACCTTTTTGAAAGGAGATGTCCTGCATCTGCCAATAGATGTGACTTTCATTAATCATATACTGGGCAAAAATAATCACTAAATCACATAAAAGGTATAAACACAAAGGCTGTGGTTGTTTGCTTTTCCATTTATAAACCGTAACAGGTTGGAGTTAAATGCATAGACAATGTCTGAAATTCAGCACAGTTGTTCTGTAATTATGTATAGACACAGAACCATGGTATTAGTTGAATTTAGGAGGCTTTAATATCTAAAGGAAAAAAAAGAGAAATCAAACTGTTTACCTAATGGGCTGAAACTGAGTCCAGCAACCTTTTAAAGAAGCAAATTGAAAGGCTTTCAAACACATTGAAACAGTTGATAAGCCCTTTTCTTAAGTACAAGACAAGACTGGGCTGTAATCCAACACATAAAGAAACTAAAGTAGAGAGAACTAGAACAAGAATAAATCAGGGATCTTATACCATACCTTTTAACAGTATGTTTTCCAGTCTTTTGCAAAATGGTTACTGTCTACCTACCTAAAACGTTACGGTGTTTTGATTTTGTAAGATAAACTAACTCCAAATAGGACACGATTGTGAATTTAAAAGACAAATAATTGCTGATTTTCAGTGTAATGCTTTTTTAACCTCTTCATTCTCAAACATGTACTTGTCGTCTTCCTCTCTATCAGGTTCTGGGTCGTGGGGGCAGCAGAATCAGCAGGGACTTCCAGACCTCCCTCTCTCCACACACTTTCTCCAGCTCTGCTGGGGAAAGCTAGAGGTGCTCCCATCCCCGCCGAGAGTCCATCCAGCATTTCCTGGGTCATCCCCTGGGACTCCTTCCTGCAGAACACCTCCCAAGGAGGTGTTCTAGGCAGCCAAGAGGTCCATGATTACTCTGGAGAGATTTGGGAATTTCACACTACAAGCGAGAAAATCATTTGTGCTCTGTATAAATATCTTTTATGGAAGAGACGTGAGAGATGATTCTCATCTTCCAGCAGGACAAAAACTGTAAACATACAGCCAGTGGGTGGAATCCCATCTACTCTCTTTACACTGCTCTGTTATCCACAAAACAGACATAGTTGTGAGGTTTATGGACAAAATCCACCAGAGGGTCTCATATATAATAATTATGAGACCTGCTACAGAGAAGAGGTCCACAATCTGACGCAGTGGTTTTCCAGGAAAAACCTTGCTGGGGTGTGTTGGCCTAGTGGTTAGAGCAGTGCGCTTGTGCTTTGAGAAGGTTGTAAGTACCCAGTTCGATCCCCACAGCCTCCACTCTGGGTTCCTGAGCAAAAAAACCTTAACCCCATACTGCTCCCTGGGCACTGCACAATGGCAGCCCACTGCTCCCCAAGGGGATGGGTTAATTGCAGAGGTAAATTTCTCTAGTGTGAGATCAATAAAGTTTAAATTATTTTTATCCTGAACACCACTAACCATAAGGAGGACATAGTGGACTGCAAGAGGTCCAGGAAACCTGACTTTGCTCATTTCTGCATAGACTGGAAAGTGGTGTAATTTATGGCTGTGTAAAGTTCCTGGGCACTCACGCTTACTCTGACCTCTATTGGAACTCCCATGTGGTGAGGAAGACCCAACAACAGCACCTATTTCTCAGAAAGAATTGACACTTCTACAGCACCATGATTTAAAGCATCCTCAATCTCAGCATTAAGTTGTGGTATGGAAGCTGTCTTGCACAAGGTAGGAAGGATTTAGTCCTGATAGTGAAGATAGTGAGTGGGATTGTCGGATGCCTTCTACCAGATCTAGACACAGTCAATGGGACTTGCAGAAAAAGGTCAAACCCATTACTAAAGGTACCCCACCCACTTCCATCAAGAAAATAGTTTCAGCTGCATTAAATCCAGAGCAAATAGACCTAAAACAGTTTGTCTCTCAAAGATTTGAATTTCCTATAAGA